GCAAAATTTTGAAAAGTGGCCCACGGGGGCACAGAATTCAATTGTATCGGCCGTACAAACAAATTTGAATTTTGAGTAAGTGGGGGTGCTTGCTTTCCAGCCCCAATTTGATATCTTAACTTCGGGGTATTGGGAGGCAGCCCAAACGTTTTGGAAAGGAGCTGAAATTAGTCCAAAATTATAGCGCAAGAACTCTTCAGTTGTTTTCTGCGAGCTCTACCGTCGTCTGTTCAGAACACCGTGCGCCGCGCCCCCGAGGGCCGGAAAGGGCGAGCGGGAAGAGGCGGGGATGAGAGAATGGGTCGGGAGGGGCGCGGGGGGAAGGGTGCGAGTTCTGGCAGGGGTTCCGTCAGGGGCGACGAAGGGGTGGGGACGTGCAGGGAAGAGTGTGGAAGAGGGCAGGGTGGAGTGAGGGCGGGCGAAAGGGTCGAGGAGGAGGATGGGTGCGCTGGGAGTCGCGTCGCAATCGATGGGCGGTGCGAGGCCAGGCACCCGATCCTTCTCCATTAGGGGCGCAGCGCCCGCCTCCGCCCCCGCCCCCAATCAGGCCATTGGGCGGCCCTTCGCGCGCGCCCCCTTTGCACCTGCCGCCTCTTGGACACCACAAATTGAACTTAAATGATCGAGAAATGCAGTATTTGACACCAGAAAAGTTTTTCACCCTTTCACTATTAAGTTGATTGGCAGTGGAAATCAACATAGTAAGGGTTTTGTTTCCACATTCATTTTATAGGTTATAGATACAACATTCCAACGTGGACGAGAATTGAATAGAGGAGAAACTCGTGTGGCAATAAGGTACGTGATATTATGGAGGTAATCTATAATAACCTCCATAATATCACGTATTCAACTAATTGTGCGCCTACTTAAAAATAAAAATAAACGATTTGGTTGAAGAAAAATCAGTTGGCTGTTACAAATACCAAACATTGTATGTACAGTATTCATAAAATATATTCTGAAAATAATTTTCCATAATTATTGAGCAACACAACACAGGTAATGAAGAATTATCTGATATTGAAAGCATTACATTACTGAAACCATTATTGACGAACAAATCTACGTATCTGTGTTAATACATATAAAATGTTTCTCGAAACTTGCATGTTATAACACACAACTATTTTTATGTGGTACAAATGTCATAAATGATTTTATATCAAGAGAAAATAACTAGCTCGTTAGATCAAATGTACAATGACTTTAGAAACATTTTTGTCATTACTGTAAAAATACTAATGCACCAAATAATCATACTAAAATATTTTCCCAAAGTACAAATATTTTATGCCTCTTCGGTTCGAACCCAGGACTTTCCGTTATCCAGACATTTCTTAACAATTAAATTATAGACACATATTTCTTATCACAGAATTCATGACAATTTTCTTGCAAGGAAAATGCAGTCAATTAGCATATTTGCACTTCGTGATAAGCCCGTTGGGTTCCACATTATCTTTCCGTGTGATAATTCTGGGATTGTTGGCAAAAACAATTGCCAACACAAAAATAAATGAAAATACCCCATATTGCTTTTGAGTAAATATGCTCATGCAACAACATTTTTTACAAGTTGTATTGTATTCCTTACTTTAAAGTGACGAGAACAGTTTTCTAAAGGATAAGGAAAAGTCCATTATTCAAAAGAAAATTTATTTCTATACATTTCAGCCACTCTTGTTTTTGGTACCTCTTCAGTAATTTTCCTAACTAATGATTTCAATATTTGTTTAAAATAAATTTAATTCTTTGGTAGTGCAGACATATGAGCTACAGAAATAATAATCAAAGAACATTCTAATAGCGTTAAAATGCCATAATATAAATATAATTTCAACACGAAGCACAGATTAAAGGTGACATATTATGAAGTGGTCGGCAATTAAAGCTTTGAAGTTGAAAGTTAACTCTAATTTTCTCTTAACTCTAACTCTCTCGGTATTTTCAATCTGCATTAACTTCTTTTACTCACCTCTTGGAATGATAATAAACAGGTTACAAAAAATAGTTTTAAAAGACCTTCAGCTTTTGTATTATTGATTCGTCGTTCAGAATTATCTTGATTCCTGCATGATTGCGCCCTATAGCCAACCAGTTTCCAATTGGTCCTCGAAAATCTTCTCCGACTCTTATCCATCTAGATTCATTCACGCCACGTTTACCACGTTGGCTTCAAACTGGACTAATTGACAGACCGTCACTGTCCAGTCACTTAGAAGACCTCACTCAAGGCTAATCTTCCATATCTGAAGGTTATTCAAATGGAAAGATTTATTGTGACATTTTACGTACTTCATAAAGACTTGAATGTTTCGACCAAAAATAATTAATTGACCTTCTCAGGAAACTTAATTTCTCCAAGACCGCCTCTTAATTGCTAGCTTCTCGGTTAAAATAAAAAATTGATTGTTTCTGGGACAAATTTTACCTATTTTGTCAGTGGGGATAGGATTTGCTGCCATCCTTTACGAAAGAAAAAATCCTAGTGTTCTGCAATGATGTAGAATATTTTTTCCAAACGTTGGGTTTACAGAATATAAGTCAGATGAATAGCAACGTTTCAGTGACAGCCCAAGGAGAAATTTGAAATGTGTACTCTTATATAACAGCAGCAAATACGGTTCTGTTTCAATTAGTCACTCATTCTTCATGAATGAAAAGTACGAGACAAATTCTTTAGTTTAAAAAAAGTATCAAGTATTATTATGAACATTAGTGGGTAATTGGGGTTGATCTGAAGATAGTGAATTTTCTTCTCGGTAAACAAAGTGGCCACATAAACTATCCCTGCTTTATATATACATGTGAGACAGCAGAGCCAAAAGTGAGCTTTGGCTGAGAAAAACGTGGCTTCTGAGGAAAGATACAGTTGTAGGGGAACCGAAAGTGATCAATTTACATTTCGTTGCTAGAGAAAAAATTATTCTCCCACCTTCGCATTACAAGCTAGGCTTGATGAAGCAATTTGTACAGTCGTTGGGGGTAGGATTGTGCTTCCAATGTGTATTACGATCATTTCCGGAAGTCACCAATGAGAAACTAAAGCAGGGATTTTCGATAATTCTCAAATAAGAAAGCTCGTAAATTATTCAAATTTCATGAAAACAAGAGCGAAACAGAATCGGGAGACTGGTCGTTTCTTGTTTTAGTTGTGAAAAACTGTCTAGGAAAGTATAAAGCAGAAAACTTTTCACGATTAGTAGAAACAATGCTTTCCAATTTCCATGTTCCCACATGAAATTAGTATTAAGGTCCATTACTTACATATTCACATGGATTGCTTTCCTTCACTTGATCTAAATGAAGAGTAAAGTGAAAGATATCACCAAGATATTCACCACTGGAAGAGACGCACTAGGGAAAATGGCAGATAACTTATGGAAAATGCAGCAAGACTGCTAGGGCTTTTCCCACACCAAAAAATGTATTCTAATCCAACAATTGTTTGGCTGTTGAATAAATGGTTGATTTTGTGAATTTTTAAAACATTTTAATGAAAACTTATGTGATTCACAGTTATCTACGTAATATATTTCATTTATAAAAACAAATTAATTTAATTTCACAAAAAATTAACACCAGTTAAGTATTTTATGTTCACAATATTTTATACCATTGAGGTTTCCAAACTCTAGCAGACACACTGTGGAAGTGAGATATATGATGATAATTCTATATTTACAAAACTAGAGCTGGTAGGGCTAAACTAATGTTTTTTTTAATAAATGTCACCGAAATTCCAAGAAAAACTTTAATATCGGAGGCAGCAAAATGTGTATTGATCAATAATAATAATAATAATTATTATTATTATTATTATTGTTATTATTATAACAATAATAATATAAGGAGAAGAGAAAAATGTAAGGATGACGATCAACCTGCTGAAAACGACGGAAACTTATTCACCTTCTTTTGGGGATGCACCACGAACGTAAAGAGGAAGGGATTTTTGTATGGAATGAGATATCAGAAGCTATTCGAATGACAACATTCACCGTTTCGGAGCATTATGGTCTTTTTGTTGGACAACACTACTGTCCCATGGCACATCCCTCAGGAGAGCTCTTTCTAAATATGAACTTTGTTCTTTCCGCCTCCATCCTCCGCCCCCATGCGTTGGTTGTCAGGGGCGGTAGCTGTCGAGTCCCGAATGTTCCTCTTTCCCTTCCCATTCTTTCCTTTTCCCTTTAGCAACTTCCCAACGGAAGTGGAATACAGATAGTATATTGCATTTTCTGAGAGAGTTGTCAAAATATTGATATAGGTAGAAGGCGGCGCGCGGTCGAGGAAAACAGAGGAAAAGCAACGCGGGATGATGTCGAGGAGAATGTAGACGACAATCTGCAGGAACAACGCGACCTTTGACATCTTATAACACGCCGGTCCACGCCACAGCTGCCCTCTTCCCGATATCGACTTGTCATTGCCAAGTCGGCCCTGAGGCCGACCTGCCCCTTGCTTCCTCGAGAGACATTCTGTAGCTCCCCTCTTCCCTCCCCGCCACCAGATGTCATTCTCCACCCCTCCAGCATCACCTCGCGCATCTTGAGGTTCCCTTCAGCCCTCCCCCCCNNNCGCGCGTCGAACGTCCGCTGCTGCAGAAACGTATTAGTTTGTAAAGAGGCGCCTTCTCACTAACCCAGGACTCAGGATGAAATAATATCTCAATATTATACTGCTATTTGCTATTTTACGCTTTACCGCAATGAAAACTTAAAAATGCTAAGGTTTAAATGAAATATCGAAGTATATGTGGTACTGCACAAATGATACCCAAATGTCATTCTTTAAATGATATTGTGGCCAAAAAAAGTAAGTTTCAGAATGCAAAAACTGTATTAGAAGTGAAATCAGTTTTACAAAAATAGGAAGAATAAAACTGGCCTTCAAATTGTCCAGAATGACGAATTCCTTACAAATAACAGGGCAACCTCCGTGCGTCCGACCTCCTCTGACGGTCAGACCGCTTCCAGTTCACCAATCAAGACAAATTATGTGTCATTCAACGCATTGCTGTCTCTTGGAGGGAGGATGTCGTACTTTTCATTTCCATTCAAAATATTCTAAGAAAATTATCTAAAAAAGTGCTTTATCAAAAGCATTTTGTGAGACTTACGGTACTTACAGAGGTACAATAACTGGGGTCCCGATAACCAAATCAAGTTTGGCTAGTTTGGCAGTTCTCTCTAGAATATTCTGAAAGAATTCTAGAAACCTGTGCCACAAGCACATACGTTTTCGAATTATTTATAACTTTCAATTTTCGAAAATTCTGGAAGTTCAACAAAAATGCGGCCTTTGCCATTTTGAACGTTCTTTTGCTCTATCCGACGTAAAAAATCAAGAAGAAATAAGCAGCAATTATTCAAAAAAATTATAAATAACTTTAAGTAAAAATATCGCTATATATAAAGCATCCCAGAAATTCAAAATTTCGTTTTCAAATGCAGAGAACCTTGCGTTCTTCCTAACCGATCGAGAAATGTCAACTTTGGAGAACATCGTCTGATTGTTCAGGGCGCTAGTTGGTCCCTAGGCGTCACAAAACCCTCGTCCACGTGGCGAGGCGACTCCTCCGTCTCCACTACCGCCCTTTTGCCCTTTCGCTAGTGTGCCGCACTCTCCACCCCCACCGGGTCCCAGGCACGTCAGTCAGAAGGCGCCTGCGATGTGGTCTGTAACCCAACACACTGCCTTGCGCGTCCCCTAAACACAGTCTCGACGGCAAAATCTCCGCTTTCCTACATACTACAAGCGACTCCCCAGGGCCGGATCGTTCTTCTTGGTACTTCTTTGCGGGACTGCGCTGCCTTCGGCAGTGCTATTGTCACCGACATACAGACATACAGACATTCATTCTTCTTGATACATACGAGTCTACGCTGCCTTTGGTACTTTCAGTCATTACAGTTAATTATTCACGATATCAGTGACGACAAAGTGCGGCTGCCTTCGGCAGTTCTTCGACCAGCAGATTTCCGCATTCGAAAGTGCATTTATGCACTTTCCAGCGTTAGCTATGTTTACGAGTTGCACAGCCTATGTAGGCGAGTTGCACAGCCTATAGCTATGTTTACGAGTTGCTTCATCAAACTGATGATAATTAAATCTAATTTTGAAATAAAACAAAACGTTGAACACGTATTTTTATTTACACTCTTTAATGCAAATTTTTATGCCCGAAAATAGATGGCCCGGACTTCTGAAATAGGTTTAAAATTAATTTTTATTATGAATTTGCAAAACAAAACTTCTAACATAAATATATCCGCCGAAAACGCCATCCTAACCTAGTAAACAGTTTACTTAATGCAAGATAAACATAGGGGCTTCAGTGGGTGATGGGATAGTTTACTAGCCTCTAGCCCCAGGGTGCAGGTTCGATCCCAGCCGAGGATTTTAGAAGGGTGAAAAATTCACAGTATCCATGTCACACTTGTGGCATATAAAAGGACCCTGGCAGATGTGCGGCAAAATTAAATTTCTCCGACAACACCCGACCAAACGAGATCTCACTTTCTCCCAACCAGACTATTCGGATATATTAACTTCATCTGGCGGTAAAAGTGAGAGTTAAATCCCACGCGCATTTACGGATCGCCCGAGGTGTGTGCGTGCTCGAGAAAGATCCCCAGAATGACACCAGGACCGAAAACTCAGAGAAAGCAACGGAAAATTACCCGGAGAATAGCCTCACACGAAAACCATTATGGGTCATCTACGTTGTGTCTAAGGAAAGATAGGACCAAAGAAGTGATGTAAATATAATTATTAATACTTACCGAACTAGGGAGCGATGAAGACTTACCAGTAATACTGCACTTAACCAGTAGTTGTAGATTCGATTCAAATGTAAAGCATGCCTGTCTAATAACCCTGCAAATGCGTGGTTATTAGAGCGTGTCAGCCTCAGCCATCTTTCCCGTTCTCTATGCGTGACTAAGGTAGGTGGTCTCTTTTTTAAAAAATAGTAGAAGTTCTATTAACGTATTTAATTCTTTTTCATGTACAAGAAAGTTGTCTTAGTAGATGCTGTGGAGAAAGCGCTCTCAATACCTCCACAAGTTTAAAACTTCTTAGCTTCCTACGGGAGTCACCTTGAGCCACATCCCCCCGACAGACGTAGTTAGGAAAGATTTCGGATCGAACTTCAAAGGCATATTCGTCTTGTCGCAGGTTGCAAAGTGGTAACGATGAAGGAGGATGGCTAGACCGAGTTTGGTTTGAAGTTGCCCAAACCGCATACCTGCAAAGGATACAGATACACAGTTAACTTGGAATGTTGAATTTTTGATTGACAAAAATACTTTTTTTTTTGAATTGCAAGTGAAAGAAAATTGTGTCTTAGACCGTACGTATTTAAATAACTTTTTTAACGATGAATGGAAACTGTTGCTATAGAAAAGTAATCCCACGTATTAAGTGATGCGAGTTACACCATATATGAATCATAAGAAATATAATAAAGAGTCGCTTTTTAATCACTTTCAAAAATAAATATTGAATGGTTGTTCATGAACAATCCATTGTTTTCATGACATTCTAAATGTTTTTCCAATCAGTTATATGCAAATTCTGACATTCTTACCATGTGCTGGCTATAATAGAAAATCCGCAATAATAAATTAAAGATTTTTATTTCACTAGTTCATGAAATTATGTTGACTAGAAAAATGTGTTAAAAGGACTGTATAGCTGTGGATAAAATATTAAATGTTATTTAAGAGTGCTACATTTTCTAGATCGTGTAAATTGCTACTCTCTGGTTTTGCCTTCGGGCGACATACGCTTTAATGGAAATGATGTACATTATGTTCGATTTTCTAACTCCAATGTAAATAAAGAGAAAACAATTAACAAAGATTAAATGTATATTGTTAAAAGTTAAAAAGTAATGTAAGATATTATTTATCTGATATATTATATTATATTAATATTATATTATTATGTTATATGTATATATATATATATAAATATTTTTTTGTGACAATTATCACAAAAATAATATAAAATAAAAATATAGATCGGAACTTTTCAATTAATTCCCACCTCACTTAGACATCCCAATAAATCAGGATTTAAAAGATGATAGAATTGAAAAAATATATATTGACAGATAATTTGAAATGGTGATTGTATAAGGTGTTATAAATATTATAGGACAAAATTGTGTATAAAACAGCAAGTTATATATGGTGATATTTTATGTGCTACCGTCAGGTACGAATCCTATCTTGACTAGAGTCAGAGTTCTCACGTAGCCGGATTTTCGACGCTAGCTAGATGGCTAATTCCAATTCAACCAGTGACTGGAGGAGAAGTCTAGCGAACACTTCTTTGAGAAGTAATTTTTCGTAATCTCTCCGATGAATACTAGACGAATACCGGAGCATTACCCTAACAAACGGGACGTCTTGTCAGTACATAACTCGGGAACTTAGCGCTTGTCCAAGCTGGAGTGATGCTTCGCTGGAGAGATACTTAGAGGGGAAATCTCCTGCACGCCGACTGCATTTTCAGTTTCAGTTTATAGTCATATCACTCAGCAAGGTACCAATGTTTGAAACATGCAAAGAAAGAGACTATCCTTTTTTTGGTACCCCTCGTATGTAATGTCATATTTGAGTTTCACTATAAGAATATAGTTTATCGTACCTTAATTATTCCTTCGAAGGTAAGCAAAATACAAATTATGAATAATTATAGTAACAATTAATTCTAATGGTATGGAAACGCACTGGTTGTTATTCACAACAATAGTGCACGCTCTTTGCGTCTTAACAATTACGTATCCCTGGATCTCTCCATCCCGCGATACCCTAGAATGAAGCTTAAATTGCTCTGTGGGACGCGATGGCCGCCCGCTCACCTATGCAGAGGCGCGGGCCCTCGCCGAAGGGCAAGTAGGTGTAGCCGGGGCGCCGCGCTCTCTCGCGCTCGCCGAAGCGCTCGGGGTCGTAGCGCTGCGGCTCCGGGAAGAAGGCGGGGTCGTTCTGCACCGCGTGCACCGGGATGAGCACGCGCGTGCCGCTCTCCAGCACCACCTTGGTGCCCGGGATGGTGTACGCCGCGTTGCACTCGCGCACCAGCGCCGACAGCGGCGGGTACTTGCGCAGCGTTTCTGCGCGCGCCAACCACAGGCTCATACTTCAAAATAACAGTTGCCAGTAACATATTCAAGATCACCAAACCTAACAGGGCCTACTGCTGTGCGTTGACTATGAGTTAAAGCCATGGAGCTATGAATAGAGGAGATGCCATGACATCACAAACTTGAAGCAAGGATCCGCCATATTCTGCTCAAAACACTTGTTGGTGCCCTAGGGTTGAGGTATGTTGTTTCTCATAGTGTTTAATTTTTAAAATCCTTGATCAGATTAACAAGCTTTCGTTACAGTTCATGGTTACTTGTGGGGCAGCCGGCTTTACTTCCTCTCCAAAGGAAGGCGTCTCTGATCGCGTGTGAACCTGCGTACTTGAGCACAACAGTCAGACACGCTAACCGTTATACCACCGGTCATTCGTAGCTCGCTTCGCTTGTGCAGCACCCGTACGGAGTTTTCATGAACTACTTCCCCAAACAGAAAGAGCTGTTTTAAACGAGAGCGAAGGGAGAATAATAATTGATAAAATATGAGCACCCAATATGTACAGAAAAATATTTTTATGACAAGTGATTCCTGATTCGGGTTGAAATTGCCAATATAATTTCGAGTAAGCTATTTCTGTTCAGGGAAGTCAAGAGAGCCAACTATAATAATAAAGAAAAATTGTGACTTCATTTCTTACTGCTAAAGTGGTGATGACCTTTAGACAATATAAAAATAATGTTAGTAATTTGACCATAAAACACAATTTTATTTTACTTCACTTACGAATATGTACGTGGATCTCACATAAGTACCAATGTGGCATAAGCAACAACATGCATATTGGAATGATTTAATGTAAAGGACATTTTTTTGCAGAGTATATAATAGCAATACTAACAAAAATATTGTGATAAACAGTGTGTAATAATAACGAATTATTTATTAATGGATTATAATTTGAATTAAGAAAAAACACTTGCTAATTTAATGGAACTATTATCGCACAAAATGATTGCCGCAAAATCTTATAGTTCAGTTATTGCCCAATGGGTTGCAGTACTCGGAATTTTAATCGCTAACTGCCAATAACGGGATAAACAAAATAACTGCTATTTCGCATAGGTTTCGCACATTTCTACTTTCTTCGTGATTCTACGTGTGAGTTAAGTCATCCTTTTACTTGAAACATCTGAAGGGCATTTCGTCAGTGTACTTAATTTCTCATGATGTCGTCACAGTGCGAAAAAGACCTTTACGCACGGTAGGTAGCTTACAAGAGTAGTACGCAAATAAAGGTCACATTAATATCATAATGACTGTAATTTTACCATTATTAAACTCTTTCCAATAACTATTAACTTATTATTAGCTACCAACACATAATTAGTACTGTTAACAAATAATGTTATGAAACTTGTAGCAAGACTCTTCGATGTACATCAATTTTTCAATTGATGGTCTCAACAGGGCCTCCTGTTATACAAACATTCAAGAACGTGATGGTTAATTTTGAATAAATCATGAAGAGCAATGAAACAAATCATGATTTGTAATTAGAGTATAGTAATAGAGAGGAGAGATTTGTAATAGGATATAATTCTTAGAGATGCCATACAAATGTTAAAATTTTGTTATGTGAATTATTGTTTCTTTTCGAATTCTGTTAGGTTTTATGCCTCAACCAATCGCTCTCGACCAAGAACTCTTAATTTTGATCGTGCAAAACAATGACTTCACGCACTTACTATAAAAATACGTACTCTGATAAATATTTGTCGGATATTTCGTATGAAATTCTATAACAACCCCTTGAACTTTTTTTTGATGGGAATCTATATAACTGCATTCGATTTTATGATCGGATCTACCACTCGTTTCAAAAATTATTCGAAACAAAATACTTCGAACTACTCACCGCAAATTACTTTCTCTAGGTATTCTATATTCATGACGGATTCATAAGTAAAATGTCCATCGTGTTTCTCCACGACTGCGTTTATCTCTCGTCTCAGCTTCCTTTGGACGTCAGGATTCAAAGCCAATTCGTGCAGGGTGAAGCTCATGGCCGCTGACGAAGTCTCGAAGCCAGCCAAGAAGAACACGAACGCTTGCGCCGCCAGTAGGTTATCGGTGAGTTCTGAAATAAAATTGTTTTAGCACATAATACAATATTGTACATATTACGAAAATTAAAATACATATTTCTATTTTAAAACTTTATAAATAAGTTAAAAAACAATTTGAGAATTATTTTGTTGAACCAGTGAATTTTAGAGTATAATTAGACAATGCCAAAAACATTGGTAAGTCCTAGAGCGAGGTCACGGCATATTCGCGTTTTCAATTTCGTTTTATTTTAATAGTAATTTCCAAGAGTCAGAATTTGAAAACAATCAACGGCGAGCTCTCGAGCAATTCACATCGTGCAGCGCACCCCAACAAACTAAAGAAAACAACGAACGATAACTACGCGATCAGTTGCATTCGCGGGCAGTGAAGATGTCAAAGAGTAGCTGCCCTAACACGGAGCAGTTAAATGCTAGTTCTATAAAACTAATCAATTCTCTAATCAGTGATTTTAGTGAAACGATATTAATTAGTGTTCAAGTCACTGTTTAATGTGAAACAGTGCAAGGGCATCAGCATCATCTAGTGCAAACTCCAGATCTAGTGCAATCCCCGAAACTTGTGTGGGCACCGGATGGTCATCTTCAGTTCCACTTGTGCACGAGGAGGTAGAACAAGAAAAAACGGATATCCGACAGCAAAAAATTGTAACTGAAGACGTGGATAAAGTACTTTCCTCTGAAAGTGAATAAACAAACCCAGGCTCGCCGGAACCGAACAGGCGCGCCTGGCAACGGCACGAGTATTGCGTAGAGACAGATTAAAATTCTAGTAATCAAACTATTAATACAATTAAACGAGATAAAAAACTAGCGGTACTTGAAAATGGCTCAAATTTTCCCGTATTATTTTTCTATTTCCTTCATTCTTGACTAGCAATACGAACTTGCCACATACTCTTGTCCGCTGCAATTTATTGCTACCAATAATACATTTTTTTTAATTTCCTAATTTTTCGATTTCCTTATGGTAGAGCGGAAATATTACTTTAAGAATAGTAAAGCCTCGTCATAAATGGCAATTTTCTTTGAAAAATTTGGAATTTTTTTTTTTTAATATGTCGCTTAAGACCTGTAAATTTGAAAATTGAAGCTCTTTTTCTCAGATCTTTTTCGAAAACTTCATTTAAAGTCATTGGAAGCATTTTAACTCACATATACAAAAAAATTGCTGAAAATGTGCATATTATAGGCGATCTTTGCGGAATCTAATTTGTGTAATTTGCGGAAAAACAAAAATATATCCCGTTATTAACTTTACGTCATATTAAAGAGTGCAATTATTACTATTCGTTAGAAACGTTCGAAGAAAAAAAATTGAGCAATTTTTTAGAAAATGGCGTTTGAGCTTTTCTGAAAATACTGAAATGTGAGCTAGTTTTCACACAAAACGGTTTCGACAAACTTGATATGACATTATTTAAAGCACATGAACTCAAAATATACTATAGTGAACAAATTGACTCTAATGTACTCTAATTTAATTGTTCCTAATGTAATGACGTGAGAGAGAAGTCAAAAAATGCCATTTAGGAGAAAAATCTAGTAGTAAAATCCAGGAGAAATGTAGTATATGAGCTTCTCAATCGTTGGTTGTTGTTGTTGAGAATGTTTTGAAATAGTTAACTATGTAAGAACCAGATGGTCGTTACCCATTTTATGTGTCGGCAACTGTACATTAGAAGATATGTGTGCAATGTTTTGAGGATTTACCAATAGCAGATTGCGTTAAATACATTAACCTGTGGCGTTCAACAGAAAACCTTAAAATTATTTAAAGATTCCTTAAAGATAAACTACGCCCACCGTAGATTGAACCTTAGCTTCAATAAGTTTACAAATTGAATATAAAAGATAGTTAAGCACACAAAGATACATTCAACAATAGAATGTTGCCAATTTAAAATTCAAAAATTTTTTAAGTACTAAATTAAGACTAACCTTACAAAGTAAGTGGGAGCTTCGAATAAATGAACTTCCCGCCTGCCTAATCCTTAACCCAGTTCCAGTGCATGCAATGCAAACCTCTGTAAAGTCAGTCAGTCATTGAACAGATAGCAAATAAAGATGTTTAAAAACTTATTTGCATCTCTACAATAGCACTATTTTTAGAACTCCCTTGAAAATAGAAAGTGGCCTTCGTATTGTTTCTTCTTTGTACCAAGTTCATGCAAATATGCTTTATCTCGTGCTCGTGTGTCCACTTTCCATCGCAAAGCACATAGAGCAACGCTTCCACAGCAGGTTCTCTCCCTCACCGAGGTCCCCGCCGTCCCGCGCTGCCGCGCCCTCGCCCGACGCGCGCCCTCCCGAGGGCCCGGCCTCCCTCTCCTTCCTCATCTGAATGAGCATCTGGAAGAAGTCGTTGCGCTTCACGTTGTTCTTTTCGCGGTAGTCCATTGTCTCCTTGACCACGTTCAGGAAGAAGTCGGAGACGTCCTTCTCCGGGATGTGCACCTTGAGCAGCGCGGCGACGGACGGCATGAGGATGGTGGCCATTGTCCTGAGGGGAGCGACGGCTGTGACTACACAAATCTTTACAGTGCCCGATTTCTCACCTTCTGTTTCATCCGCTGGTTATAATTGTTCGCGTTTGACTTCTTTAAAAAATGCAAACAATATTTGTATTGTTACAAAACCATTAAAATTTATTTTTGCAATGTAGTGTAATACTAAAATTTCTATTATCACTGATAGATACTACATGATTATTTAGTTAAGTCCAAAGAAAACTAAATAGTAAAAGACGTACACAAGATTTTCTGTTTGTGCATGTGGGGGGGGGGGGGCTTCATATACATTATCCAGCCGACTTCATGTGTTCTTATGAAGAATGCTTCCTTTATTCACGAGTTGATGTTCACGACATGAGCGACGTAGGAGCGAGAATTTCTGCGAGTGAACAATAGCCATTCAACGCGAGTAAAATACTATATTTAAATATTTTGAAATTAATGTTTTAAAAATACTAAACGAAAACATTTGAGAAGGTTTTGGTTTTTTTTAAAATAATGTTACAGTCATTATACGTTTTACGTCATTAATTAAATAGTTTATAACATTAACTAAAAACAAGTAAACAAAACACGTATTACAAAAGTAAATAGTTTAGATTTACTATTTGGAAACATTAATTATGAAATTAAAGCAACTGGTAATGTTTATTATCGATGGAGTTGACTCATGATTTGAGTCGATTTAATTTAAAATAAAATAAATAGTAGAACAAGATAATTCTTGTATACTCGTATTTTAATATTGTATACTGTGTATGTGTACAATAATATTCTCGCACGGCTTATGGAATCGTCATTACTGCATCCGATAACATACAGAAATGCATACATTCTGGAGTAGTCGTAGTGAAAAAAATTTAATTTGTTAATTTACAGTTAATATTTGTAATGTTAACAGTATAATTCATTGAACGACTTTCTTTGGAGTAGAAAATTATTAAAAATAATGTTTTTAATAATATTATATATTTGTGTGTGTGTGTGGTGGAAACGCATCACATCACGTACCATTGGAGAGGCGGCAGCCTCATGAGGCAACCCACCCACTGCGCTACAGTTAATATTTAACTGAAAATCGCTCATTGTTGTTTAACACAAAGATACCAGTTAATCACATTAAAACACCAGTTACTCGATACTAATATTTTTAATAAAGTTTTATGTAGTTTTTAATGCCAGATTCGCCCGGTTGTATAATTTTTAAAATATCTTGGGCTGTAAGGGTTGTACCTGAGCGTGAGGCCCAGCGTGGGGTCGAAGGCGCGCCGCCCCATGGCGCGGAACTGCGAGTCCGGGTTCCTCATGGAGTTGCAGCGCAGCCCGAAGGCGCACGAGCCGATGACGTCGGTGGTGAACTTCGCCAGAACCTGCAGCCGCCCCCACACAAACACCGAGGACTACATTGAAATTTCCCTCTTTGCTCAGAAAAAAATAAACTGAGAATAAAGAAAAAACAGCTCTGCTCGAACACACACTCCAATGACATAGCAAGTTATAATAAAAACATTAACTTGTATCTTTTCTTTTTCTTAATAAATAATTATGAAAAATGGGTCTCATTGAAGTTAGCTTTGAGTCACGTGTAAATATGAAGTAGAACTGCATTTTCTACTATTTGGGTGAATTTGAGTTAATGGGCCATGGCTTTGAAGTAGCCTTCGTTGAGGTCTGGTATTTTCAAGCCGCGGCTCGAGCTTCGACAAAGCCGCGCCTGATCAAGTGAGAGTGGGATTTCGATCCGTGGCTGGAGGAAACCGCGGGTCAGACCTCGTCTCCCGAATCCCCTCCCCCATCGAGGTGGTGGGGGAGGTGCCATTGGCTGCCCTGGGGGCGCTCGCTCCCTGGGCGGTCGCTCTCTCGCGAGTGGCTGCGCGAACGACGATTGGCAGCGTACAAAGTGCGCGTTTCTTCCCCAGAAACTTCCAGCGCGTGACAGCAAATATTATTTTTCACATCACATGTTACAAAGTGAGACTACCAATTATACAGAAATAGCATATTTCGCGTCTATTTTTTGTCCGGTTTTGTTTCGAAGCAAGTATTGTACCTTTAGCACTACTCGTGATGTACCGTACAGTCAAAACACTTGCTCAGCAGACATAGAAAGTGTAGCAATATAGCAACCTGGATAAATCGTTCCTAGCGCTGCTTCATATCGCGCCAGTTGCATGAAAGTCCTCAGTTCTTTTGCAGAGACAGCAAGGAAGCGCAAGACTAGACGCAATAAAAGCAAGGCTTCTTTGGCGTCTAGCCTGGCTGCTAAACTACCGTCCTAGATAGCAACAGATTAAGCTTTAATTACTGAAATAATAGTTGTATGGTGCAAAATACGACGTGTGCTCTCCTATCGATTTTGACGTTCGTATTATTTTAATGATGTACTTAGCAAATGACAGATGGTCGCTGTTGGCATCCGCACCTCCTTGATCTCGACGAGGCCGCCGGCGCGCGCGGCCTCCTCCTGCACCAGCAGCGCCAGCTCCCGGGCGCAGTCGTGCATGCACGCGAACATCAGCTTCATCTTGCCCGAGGTAAAGGTGGGGGTGAGCTTGGAGCGCAGCTGCTTCCAGCGCGCGCCGCCCAGGTTGAAGAGGTGCGCGCTCAGCGGGTTCAGCTGCTCGTCCACGAAGATGCCGCGGTCCTAAAACGGTCCTCCTTGTGACTCGTCTGCGCAACTCTCCCTCGTAAATGGTTACAAACTAGCGGTGCTAAAACAGGTAGTACATTCTCGCCTTTAGTAATGGTTAGGTAATACTATTTATACCACAATTTCTCTCCGAATTAACTCATCTCAGTCATCATGTTTTGAACTTATTGCAAATCATACAAATTTAGGTGCGAAAACTAAATATTTTCTAGAAAAATATCAACACAAATTTGAGATTCTCAACAGCTAAATCATGTAACAACAATGATAAGTAATTCATAGCAATTCATCTGACGCGTCGTGTCGCCGATAGTTCCATTGTTACGTTTCAATCTTCCCTGGGGGCTAGCAATTTTTAATTCAAATATTTCAAATAGGTTTTAAAGAATTTCTAAAAGATTAATTAGTAACCGTATAACAAAATCTCGAATGTAAAAAACGAATAAAGCTATATGAAATAATATATACTAATACAAATTCTAGCTTACGTAGCATCCAAATGCTTGGAATCATTTCTCATATTGCCTTCACGAAGCGCAGAATATTGAAAGAGGGTGACTTACGTTTGACGCCAAATTTCTCAAAATATACTCATATTTTCGAAAATTCCAATACTGTACAATATTTGTGATCTGAACGTATGTGAGTTTAAATCTCGTACCTGAAAGCACGCGAAATCCTTGACGAGGATCTGCTTGATGAGCTCCGGGTCGCGGATGAACAAGGCGGGGCGGGTGATCTGGTACACGCCGCCGAAGGGCAGCCCGTCCAGGCGCCAGTAGAAGTCGTGGAAGAGCTCGAGCGCGGACTGGCGCAGGAGCACGCGGTCGCGCATGTTGCCGAAGGGGAAGCTCGGCTGCAAGTGCGGCACGCCCCTGCGCGCCCAGTACGAGAAGCAGCGCCGGAAGTACAGGCACAGCAGGCCCGCCAGCCCCGCCGCCGCGGCCGCGCACGCCAGCCCGATCGACACCATGGCTGAGGGGCACGAAAAAACACCGATCAGAGCAGTTTGCCACTAGAATTCTCCTCACGACAGTGGGTGAATTCGGTCTACAGCGCCTCCGAGGTTCAGAACGAAGAACGGTCTCTTATAGCGATAGTGATGCCAATGTGGCGCTTTTCAGCTGTTCTGTGTGAACTGAGAGTGGCGTACTCGATGGTGTCGGTGAATCTCTTAATAGCTCGAAGGGCTCGTTTCATCTTCCTTGTCTCGAACCTTTTTAATTTTATGAAAGCGTATTTTCTCCCCTTTCTGCAAATGTAAAACTATTCTTGTAAGACTTTGGTACACAAGAAACATCTCTTTTAAGCTTCTCACGTCCATTGTGCTTCGAAATATGTCATAATAAATCGCAAAAAAATATTGATTTTAAAGCGCACCACTCTTTCAATATAATACCTAAAATTCAAGCCAACAACGGCAGTTGCAAAAAGCCCAAACCTTTTGTCCCCTTTTCAACAGCAGAGAAATAATAAATTTTGATTACCAAACAAAAATAGTTGTAAACATTAATATCAATTTATGTTTCTCCACTATTGAACACTTTACCACTCTTACGCTATAAGGATGGAGGAACACACAATCTGAATTAATTTTGCAAACGCAAAAGAAATTAAAAAATGAATGTAAAAAATTGTAAATTAATGAATTTACCATATCATAAAAATCAAAATGAAGAAAAGTAAAAGAAGTTACATTTAACTTCCATGTGATTAAAACCATAAATCTCAAAACCCACGCAACAACGAAACCTAGGCAAACGAACACAGGTTAATAACCGGAACGCGTATTGTTTGAACGTCGTGTGACACGGCAACCGAAACACAGCACCGATGATGAGACTGATACATCAGCCAAACGTATCCCTTTCTACAAAATTAGTAAATTCTAAAGGTATTCGCCACAACTTGTAAATATAAAATGTAATGAGGATTTAAAACATTTGAAATCGTGAAACCGGGAGGATGTTTCTTTACCGGGAAATCCCATAAGGCTGTGTACTTCATTTCAACCTCGCGCGCGCAATAGCCCTCTAATGTCGAAAGCCTGCCACTATATCGGGACTTGAATCCTACGACCTGAAGCTCAGAGCCACTGCAGTGACGCGAAACGATGCCCTGCGCCACCTAAGCCCGTTAATACATTGCAGTCTGATATTTTCTTCCATCGTGGGTTGTCATAAAAATCTATTGTTGCCACTACGGTGAAACGATACTAGAGCGCTCATATTTATATTGAAACTGGAGTGCTACGGGTGGTAAATTTTGATCAAACCAGGAACCGAGTCCGGGATCTTGTGTCATCCACACAGATGCTCTAATCTACTGAGCTACGAAATCAAACATTGCATTCAGGGTCGGTCTGGCGCCCCTAGAGATAAAGGAGGCAGCCCATTGACTTCCAGAAAGCGGTTGGCGGAACGTAGCTTAGAAGCAGTGTTGCCGTCCCAACGTCGGCGTCACCGATCGGCAGCTCCTCGGGACTGTGTCCAAATGGAGACAACTTCCCGCTCTGGCGTGATTCTTATGTCGCAATCAAACAATGTGGGGAGAAGAATTCTTGCGACCGGTCGATCTGATCAAAATCGGGCAAATGTCCGAGCACTACCCTTGCACACGGGCTTCGCCTGATATTTCTTTTCTCATCCTTGTCCCTTCCTCTCTCCATGCACTCCGACTTAATTACACTGGCAAAAATAACCGGAAATCAGTCGCAAGCTGAGAGCTTGACTCGGTAGGGAGATACCTAGATAGGAAAATCTCCGTTAGTCTGAATGTAGAATCTCACGTTCCAGAGGGGGAAAGAGCACTGCTACCACCCGGTATGTACCACGCTTACGAAACAAATCACATCTTCATCGTAATAATAATAATAATAATAATAATAATAATAATAATAATAATAATAATAATGATGATGATGATGATGATGATACCACGGTGCAGGTGATAGTGGAAGCCATAGTCTGCGCTTAGGAGGCTGCAGGTTCGAATCCTGTGAAGCCATGGACGTATTTGTGATTGTTCCTTCTTCCCTCATTATCATCCTACTACCTCACAGGTCATAATTCAAGGCTAACAAAATTCTCTAAAACAATCAGTACAAACGAAAAGGCCTATCCTCTTAGCGAGTAGACACGTTTATCTCTCCGGGATAAATGTGATTGAACCTCGCAGAATAACGTGCAGGATATTCCGAGTTGGTCCATTTTTGCATTAAAAAATGACTTGGCGTGCCCGGAAATGCACAATCAATCAATAAACCAATCGAAGTCAAGAGGCAGGATTCAATCCCGGCTGATATCAATGGAGTGTTCGATGGGAGACAAATATTCACTGACCTACGTCACGCCTCTGACAAGCAAACGCTTTCTCGTAAAAAGCCCACGGAAATGAAATCCAATCGGTATTTTCCTGACTAAACGAGATTCTGTTTTATTCTCATACATCTGCAATTATTAACTGAGAACGAAATTTGGCGCGAAGAGAGAGAATTGCACTCAGACGATGCAAGGGCTACAAAATTAAAACGAGTAACCACTTTTAGGACCGAATGAAATTTTTAGGTCGCCCTGGTCGACGATAACTGAAAGAACTTCTTTTCTAATTTTTCATTTAATAATTCTAACTACAAGCTGAACACATGCGATTACATCGCTAAAACTATCTGCAATACTTCCTTGCATTATCTCTAATCGACGTAATTTTTGAAAATTCAGAGTTCAACGAAAATGAGACTTGTGTCATTTTCTCAACGTCCTTTGCAAGAGTAAAAAAAATAAAACACAAATTCTGAGCTGCTTTTGAGATATTTTAAATAAATAAGTATTAATTGCAGTAAAAAATCTCTATATTCAATCTTCCAATCTCCACTCGTTAACATTTCGCAATTTTTTAAAATGCAGGGAGTACGAGAAAAAATTTAAAGATTTGAAGCCAATTTAAGAAAATTTATGTTAAAAAATTGCCTTGAATTCACGCAAAATTACAGGCAAACTACTCACATTTTCGAAACCTTGTACTCGATCTTATTTCGAGATACGTCTATGAAGGACAAATTTCTGCAAAGGAAACTAGTGTTGCTTTAGCACTGCCTCTAAGGCACTGCACGTATGGCCACTGCATATACTTTCTTGCCCTTAGTAATGGTTATGTAATACTATTTATACCGCAATTTCTTTTCGATTTAACACATCTCAGTCATCATTTATTGTAAAATCTATTACAAATTGTAGAATATTCGGCGCGGGCTCATAGATCACCGGTCGGTAGACTCACAAGGCCTTCCACCACGACACACATTCATAAAAGACAAATGACAAACAACCGTGCCGACGGCGGTACTCTTAAACTGCAACCCATCAGACCGATGCGCTCAGAAGGCACTTACTCTAGCCACCTCGACCATCCAAATAGGCGGCAATTATAACTGCGTTTCAAACAGCTACATAAATAGTGTCCCAACAATGTGACCTAATTCCAAGAACAATAGCTGCTGCCTCGCAGTGGAATGCCAATGACGCTTTTCCCTGAAGGCTAACGATTTTTCTTTCATATTACATTTAAATCTAATTGGCGAACTTGATGTGAAGAGGTGGACTGACGACAAATTAGGGTGTGACCCGTTGACACATCAATTACTCCGTCATCCCTCATTACATCACCTTATCTTCACGAAGGACTACTGACTGTTTACGAGTGTCAGACTTGATTTTAACCTAAGAATTTATTAATTCAGATTCTGTCACCATCACTCGGAAATTAGTAGGCACGATGAAGCTAATAAGTACAGTTAAATTATTAAGCTAATTACAGAAAAGCAATCTGGAGATTGCTGCATTAACACGTAAAGAATAAGCATAAAATAATGAGATTGATGATCACATAACATTATTGCACAGTTTCAGTTGTGAAGTTAAGCCTGGAAAGAGAGGAAACAAAGAAAAATTGTGTGCTAAACGTGAATATTACACCGGCTGCAATACAGTGGACATTACTGTAAGTAGCGATGACACGTGGAGGAAGCGACAGCTGGCAGCATGAGGCGATGGAAGCGCATGGCATAGCTTCTCCGATATGAAGAAACTATGAAAGCTATTATACGGTCACATGACGGCAGACTATCAACTTTATATACTCGTATATCAATACATTGAGAATACAAATTGTAGAATTAAGTAAAGGAAAAGTGCGAAAAAGCAACAATTGAATTAATATTGTCTTTTTCAATAGGAAATTATAATTAAAATAAAACTAATTATTTTTTATATCATACATTTAATTTTTTAATTGCCCGCAAATTTTAAACAAAAATCTAAATCTTCAGTTTTGTAGTTTTGAATTTTTTTTCAAATTTCGAAAACAAGACGAGCAATACTCAAAAATGAGACTAGCGCTGTACCTGTTACCATTCCTTATTACATATGTTGACAAACTTTAAAGAAAACATTTGGAGCGAATTTTGAGACATTTTTTGGTAAATTTCAATTGCAAAATACGAAAAAATTACTCGTTTTCTCAAAAAATTGTACGATACCTTGTTGAAGAGCTAATCTTGTACAACAGACTGTCTGAAGCAAAAATCACTACCTCCAATTTTGAAGTTTTATTCTTTTTTTTTTCCAATTTTCGAAAAATCGGGGATGTCAATGACAATCAGACCTGCACCATTCTCTTAAACGTCCTTGCACTATTCAACAACAAAATTTAATCAAAAATTTTGGAGCAATTATTTTGAAAATTACGAAAATGTCCCAGGAGCATCAGGTAAAGTATTTCCCAAATTAAAATTTATGTTTCAAATTTCAGAGTCCGCAACATCAGCTAGAACGATTGGGGAATATCAATTATGTAGAAAATCGGCTGAACGGTTTAT